TGGGAGACCAAGAACGAGACCGTGCTGGGACATGTGACGCAGACGCGGGAGCGCAGGGTGACCTAGGCGGTGGTGCCACAGGAGGGTCGGGTGAGTGAGGGAGCGACAGGAGCAGGCAGCAGCAACCTGGGTAGACGCAGCCACCTGAGGGGTCGCGGTGTCCAGAGTGAACAGGCCGGACACCGGGTCCCGGGGGAACGTGGACAGGGGGGCACCAGTGGCGGCCTCGGTACAGACAGCATACCGCTCGTGGCCAGGGAACGTAGTGGTGACGCCAAGGTCCTGGAGGCAGCCGACACCAACTAGGTTACTGGAGAACGAGGGGATATGCAGACCTATAAGAGAACCCGAAGGAACCGCCGGACAGGGAAGGGTGGTGGAACTGCGGGCGACTACCGGACCGCCGGAGGGGTCAGCAAGAGAAACGGCAGCAGGAACAGGAAGCGGCGTCAGGGTGGTGGAGTCGCGGAAGAAACACCGAGAGGCGCCAGAGTCCAGGGTGAAGGACAGCGAAGCCGAGGGGTCTGGCGACGGAACGACGGCGGAAGCACCAAGACTACACAAAGCAGGGGATCCTACGCCTGACGCAGCAGGGGAGGCTAAGCTAGGCACACCTACACTAGGCAACAATGAGTAATAAGCGGGAAGCACACTAGAGTCATCGGCATACATCACATGCAGAGCGGAAACAATGGCATCCATGTCCATATCAAAAATCTGAATCTGACGACTAAGCAAACTGTGCCAGTCCGGGAGGTCTGGCGACGGGCCGAAGCGCTGACGAAAGAGGTCGTCCAGGCGACGAAAACAACGGGGAGTGGAGTGACCGATCTTACCGCAAACGAAGCCGCGGCGAGGACCGGTCTGGATCTGGTACTGACAACGCCCGCCGCCAGAGCCACCACGCGGCACACCACCACGCGCCCGGCCACCGCCAGCGCCGGGCCACCCTGGCGGAAGGACACTCGGCTGCCGCGTCTGCGGCGGCTGCTGCGGCTGCTGCGAAGGCTGCGACTGCGGCGGCAGCTGCACCTGCAGGGGCGGCGACTCAGCTGAACTGGGCAGGGTCCCCTCTTCCACTCCAGCACCAGGCGACCCGAACCCACCACTACCCCCGCCCGCACCCCCGCCGCCTCCTCCGCCGCGCCCAGCCTTGGGGCGGCGGCCCTTCCTCGAACGGACCTGCGCTGCAGCAGCAGTCTCAGCCACTGCGGCAGAGCCGTCGGAGAAGGTGCACTGAGCGGGGGCACAACCCTGAAAGATAGGGACCGGCACGACACCGCTCGCCTGGGCGATGGAGCGGTGACGGGTCTCTATCACAGTCAGGGTGTCTACAAAGTCAGTGAGGGTGAGGTCTGCGGGGTGAACGCTAAGAAAGCGGTCGGGGGCGACAGCAAGGCGGTCAGGGAGGCGGGTGGCAAGCAGGTAGAGGGTAGAGGTAATGGGCGGCTAGTGGGCTCTAAGCTGGGCGTCAGTGCAGGCAGCGCGCCAGGTCTCATCTATCGAGCGCAGGTGGGCAGCGAGGTCAGAGACAGTGGGGAAAGATGCAAGGTCAGGAAAGAGCATCGGAAGGATCAGGCGACCCACCGAGGCAGCCGGAGGGATGGAATAGCGCTTGATCACAGCATCTAAGTATGCCTGAGCAGTAGTGAGAGACCTAAAGCGAGGACGCTCGGATGGGGGAAGGGCGTTGCTAATGGCAAGCTGGGCAACAGCATCGCGAGAAAGCCAGACAGAGCGCGCACGGGCAGTGGCAGCAGTAGACTCACGCTCAGTGGGTGTGGGGTCAGCGGGCAGGATAGCAGGGGGGTCTGGGCAGGGGAGCGTACTGTCAAGGTGTGCGGAAAGCGGATCACCATCCTGCCGCTGGCCAGTGAGTTGGCGGCGGAGGTCGGCAAGCCACGCCTCGAACTCTAGGGGCTGACCTTCAGCGTCGAAGCGAAGCTCCGCCGCCATCAGGAATAGTCCAGTGCGGTGCAGGGCAGTGCAGTGCGGTGCAGTGTGGTGCAGGGCGGTGCAGTGCGGTGCAGTGCGGTGCAGTGCGGTGCAGTGCGGTACAGGGCGGTGCAGTGCGGTGCAGTGCGGTGTAGTGCGGTGCAGTGCGGTGCAGTGTGGTACAGTGCTGTGCAGTGCGGTGCAGTGCGGTGTAGTGCGGTGTAGTGCGGTGCCAGGCAGTACAGTGTGGTGCGGGGCGGCACGGAGCAGGGCGGGGTGGGGGGGGGGGGGGAACCGTACCAGTGCGGAGGACGGGGCCGGGGCTGGCCCGACGGGGCTGGGCGGGCGCGACGGGACCGGGCTGGTGCGACAGGGCCGGAACGGGGCGACGGGGCCGAGCGGGCGCGACGGGGCCGGGCTGGGGCGACGGGGCCGGGCGAGTGCGGCAGGGCCGGGCCGGTGCGACGGGGCCGGGCGAGCGGGACGGCGGCCGGGCGGGTGCGACGGGGCCGGGCGGCTGCGACGGGGCCGGGCAGGGTGCGACGGGGCCGGGCAGGTGCGACGGGGCCGGACGGCTGCGACGGGGCCAGGCGGCTGCGACGGGGCCGGGCGGGCGCGACGGGGCCAGGCGGCTGCGACGGGGCCGGGCGGGTGCGACGGCGCCGGGCGGGCGTGACGGGGCCGGGCGGCTGCGACGGGGCCGGGCGGCTGCGACGGGGTCGGGCAGGGTGCGACGGGGCCCAGGAGGGGCGCTACAGGGCCCAGGGAGGGCGCGACGGGGCCCAGTAGGGGCGCTACGGAGCCACGGAGGGGCGCGACGGGGCCTGGGAGGGGCGGGACGGGGCCCAGGAGGGGCGCGACAGAGCCCAGGAGGGGCGCTACGGGGCCTGGGAGGAGCGCGACGGGGCCCAGGAGGGGCGCTAGGGGGCCTGGGAGGAGCGCGACGGGGCCTGGGAGGGGCGCGACGGGGCCTGGGAGGGGCGTTACAGGGCCCAGGAGGGGCGCTACGAAGCCCAGGAGGGGCGCGACGAGGCCCAGGAGGGGTGCTACGGGGCCCAGGAGGGGCGCGACGGGGCGCTACGGGGCCTGGGAGGAGCGCGACGGGGCCCAGGAGGGGCGCTAGGGGGCCTGGGAGGATCGCGACGGGGCCTGGGAGGGGCGCGACGGGGCCTGGGAGGGGCGTTACAGGGCCCAGGAGGGGCGCTACGAAGCCCAGGAGGGGCGCGACGAGGCCCAGGAGGGGCGCTACGGGGCCCAGGAGGGGCGCGACGGGGCGCTACGGGACCTGGGAGGAGCGCGACGGGGCCCAGGAGGGGCGCTAGTGGGCCTGGGAGGAGCGCGACGGGGCCTGGGAGGGGCGCGACGGGGCCTGGGAGGGGCGCTACGAAGCCCGGGAGGGGCGCGACGAGGCCCAGGAGGGGCGCTACGGGGCCTGGGAGGAGCGCGACGGGGCCCAGGAGGGGCGCTAGGGGGCCTGGGAGGAGCGCGACGGGGCCTGGGAGGAGCGCGACGGGGCCCAGGAGGGGCGCTAGGGGGCATGAGCGGAAGCGGTAGGTGGGGGGGGGGGATCCTACCTACGCGTGATACCATATCAAAATAATTGAATATTGGTAAAGATGAGAGTACACACAAATATACCTAAGTATTGTACCCTCTAAGCGGTAACCCTATACAGTATATACAAACATAACAAATACAGATGTTTGACAACCCTGCCTTCCCAATATAGTTGTGCTGGCGAAACTTTCCCCAGATTTTCCGTGCGACATTTCTGCGCATCCCCGTTTAAAGACAGTTGTATTGGAACCCAAATCAACCCAGCTACATTTTGGTGTGTGCAAATCATTTTTCCATATAGTCATTCGTATTAGCGCATGGGCATATTTTTTATTCGATTACAAGCGCATGCTGCTTTTTGAACCTAATCCCTATAAGCACATATGCGCCTATATCCGGGGGATTACGGGTAGTCATATATTTTTCAAATATTGCATCGTTTTATCGAATGGGTAATTGGTATCGAAAGCTTGTGTACAACAGTACCTGATTTTCATGAATCCAAACACTTGAACGAGCTGTGATGATTGTTTTTTTTTTTGAAATTCTGGGTTCAATGAAACACCAACTGCATTAGCAAGTAAGATTGATTAATGTTTTATACAGATTTTTTTGGTGGACATCATACATTATAGCAGGAGTGACAGATATAGATATACAGAATAAGTAGGGTGAGTCTGTTTATCGAGTCGTGTCAAAAGGCGATGTCGAGTACTAAAAGGCAAGCTACATTTAGTTCAAAATCAACCGTTTTAGACCAGAAGCAGAAAACCAAGAACCTTACGAAACCGTACTAAACGAAGGCGATGACTACTTTCCCCACAAGGTTACTTGCGTGGCTCGTATGAACTGGTGGTGTTCCGCTTCTGCTTTCCGCCAGCACAAACCCGCGGTCACGTACTTGATGCGGTGTTTCACTAAAACCCCCAGCCGCACCGCGTCGGCCGCAAAGCCCGGGCTTGTCCCAGCCAACCCTGGCCCCCAAACTGCGCGATTCGTTCCGACATTTGGCACATCGCGCCTCGGCGGAGGCACATTGAGGTCTGGGCATGCGCCGTCAACCAACGACGTGGCGGGGCAAATGTGGATGGCAATTGACCGTCAAGAGCTGGTGATGCACGGCCCCACCACCTCGTCCCAGCTCCCACAAACATCCCATTTGAACTGGAAATCCGGCCATCACATCCACCACGCACAAGCGCCCTACGTTGCTCGTCCTGACCTGAATCCTTCACCCAAGCCGAAAGCTGCCACAACCGACAGACACGGAAGTGTTGCCCTAGTCTCCCGGCCAAAAGCCTCCCTCCAATAATGGCTTCGCCAATCTTCGTGTAGCCATCGTCGCGTGGCACCGTGGCACCTAGAAGCAGGCCAATCACAAACCTTCCCGACCAATTAGGCCTCTCAGCTCCCAGGCTCGGTAAAGTTGACTCTGATGAACCTCCCCAGGCCCTCGTCCCTCTACACGCGCACTAACCAACTTCGGTCTGTGATTCCCTCTTCTGTTTCCTCTCGTAGTGGCATTGCAACGCCTCATAGTTCGACGCGTCTGTTTCGCTGTGGAATAGCGCTCAACCAAGCGCTCTCCCCCTTCTCGCTTTAGTATCCGCAACAGCTCGAACAGCAGCAGCGTGGCGTAGCGCTAGTGAGTGCTGGAATCCAGTGGGTAGAGATCGAACAGGTGCAAGTGGGTTCTGTCTTCAGCTGGTCGGTTCCAAAGAAGGTCTTAGCAAGAAGCCACCGAGCAACGAGTTTTTCTGTTTCGTGAATCGATATACCTTGCCGCGAGGGCGCGCTAAACGTCTGTAGAGTAGCTCGCATACGCGAAAACATGGTGGCAGCGAGGCCACGGTCGGCCTCGACGGACAAACCCTTGTCTCACTCGCGACGCAGCTCAGCCATGCGACAGTCACGCACCCCCGTCGAGGTTCAAACGACGTCGCCTGGAGTCCCTTCCTCGCGACTGCTTGCGTGCCTCTGCCTCGTCGTCGCCATGGCGTGCGGCGCGCGGGGACGAACGCCCGTGGTGCCGGCTGAAGGGGGGCGATACGTCACGGTCGGTAGCACGAGCGAGAAGTTTAACTACGCGTGGAATCCCAAGGTTAACTACGCGACTTGGGCGACGACGGACGAGAACACGGTGTATACTGGTGATGTGCTAGGTACGTTGTGTATGTGTGACGGGAGTTGGGGAGTAGTGTGCGTGTGCATCTTCTGTGTGTCTCTGGGTGCGTATGTCCTTTCAGCATCTGCCTTCAACACCTTGTCCCTCGTTTTTAACTGTTTCGCTCTCCGTTCGGTGCGTCCATCCCGCTAGCGGGCACTTCTCATCCTTCTTATCCTAGCACCGCCTCTTCCCCAACCGTCGTCTCCCATAACTCCTCCAATCCCCGCCAGTTTTTAACTACCCCGCCTACTCGGACGAGATCTACAAGTTCGACGACGAGGCGGCGTTCCAGCGCTGCCAGTTCTGGCGCGCGACGAAGGTGTGCAGCGACACGGACGGCGAGGCGGGGTGCACGGTGCGCGTCGACACGGCCGGGACCGCGCTCTTCGCATCGGGCATGATCGCGCGATGCACGTGGAATAGCAGGGTAAGCGGGGAAGCTAGTAGAGGAATAGCTAGTGAAGGAAGCAAGTCAACGGGGGAGAGTAATGGGAAGTCCGAACATGTCAATGCAGGTCAACGGGGACGGTAGCACAGGACGCTCGGTGAACCACCCGGTGTATATGTCTATGTCTCTCCTCTAGGTTTGCGCTCTTCCAATTCGTATCTACTTTCTCTAAGCCAATTTTAGCTAATTCTCGGCGTCCCTTGCGGTCGCTACTCTCCTCACTGCTGTCTCGTTGTTGCCCCTTTCGCACGGTCTCGTCCCGCTCCCTTGTGCCCTCCGCCCGCAGCTAAACATCACAGTGGTTCAGCGCGGCACGCCGCGGAACGTCTATGTCGGAAAGCTCATGCCGGGCTATACTTATCCGTGGAACCCTGCGGTTAACTTCACTGAATGGGCTGCGACTACAACGATATACGTTGGAGATTCTCTTGGTGAGTACAAGGACGCCGTAGATGGCATGAGATGTACCTGGAATTGAAGCACTTGCGGTGCAAGAAAAGCTTATATTTTTAGCAAGGTCGAGCCCACATTAGGCTCAACCGGCAATCAGATGCAAGCTATTAACTCTTGCCTCGTCCTCTTCTGCTTGTCCATCCCCGATATACAGTTTTCAAGTATCCTTCAGGCTTAGACGAGGTGTACAAGGTGCCTACTCAAGCTGACTACGATTCTTGCGACGTACGAAACTACGAAATGATGTGCCGATCAACGGATGCTGAAAACGGCTGCAAGAGCGAACCTTTAACCGCGGATCCGGTGTTCTTCATTTCTGGGGTGTACTCGAAATGTGCGGCTGGGATGAAGGTTACGGTTACAGCTGTAGCACCTCCTAACAACACCGCCACTTGAACAGTGTGATAGAGAGACCTATTTATAATAACGGGGTAAGGTTATGAGCCATATTATTGACAAGGAGGAGACTGCCTGCACGGGCGAGTGGGGAGACTAATCAAGTGGTGGGAAGGCAGAAGTGTGCAACTGAATGTGAGGTGCTGCTGGCGGCAATCAGGTGCTGGTGATTCTTTGCTGCCACTCCCAGTGTCGTTCCTCCCAGACTGCAACAACTACTGTTGCTTGCGATGGAGGTGCTGGTGCTGGACTGGTGCTGGTGCTCCTCTTGCCTGCCTCAAGAGGATGGTGTCTAGTAAATGCTACTCACTAGGGCTTGCAGGAACGGATGGGAAGGCGGAGAGTGCTCAGGGTCCTTGCATCGCAATGCCCTGGAAAGGAGGGGATGAGGTTAGGCTTAGTTTTGCGCTAGACTTTATGAATAGACAGCTAAATAATGCCTGTCGACACGACCTATTCTATTCAGAACTGTATTAGGGACTAATTTAGTGGTCCATGCTATCTTGCTATTGACATGGTGCACTGCACTGCTTTAAGGGCGGATACCAAGTTGGTGTTAAATTATATATGTTAGTATATAATTGTAGGTTTGGTAGCGGTTATTGAACATTACTGTCAGAACACCCCTCCTTGTATCCCTTTCTCTTCCTTTCTAGTTCTGACATGGTATCAGAGCAAGACCCCCTGTCAACCTATACATATTAGTTGTGTACAAGTTATAGGCTAGACTGGGGTATGCTTCTAGTGAGTACAACCAACTAGTATTTGTTCTAGGTTTCAACTTCTAGTTCATTATTCAGTTCTTACTTTAACATGGTATCACGCGCAGGTTAGAATCCCCCACCTACCGCTTCCGCCCGTACCCTAGCTAGGCCCCGCCGCTTCCCCCCTGGGCCCCGTCGCGCCTCCTAGCCCCATCGCGCCTCCTAGCCCCGTCGCGCCCCTCCTGGGCCCCGTCGCGCCTCCTAGCCCCGTCGCGCCCCTCCTAGGCCCTGCCGTGCCTCCTAGCCCCGTCGCGCCCCTCCTGGGCCCCGTCGTGCCCCTCCTGGGCCCCGTCGCGCCTCCTAGCCCCGTCGCGCCCCTCCTGGGCCCCGTCGCGCCTCCTAGCCCCGCCGCGCCCCTCCAGGGCCCCCTCACGCCTCCTCGCCTCGTCACGCCCCTCCTGGGCCCCTCGCGCGCGCTAGGCCCTGTCGCGCCCTGCCTGGCCCCGTCGCGCCCGCCTGGCCTCGTCGCAGCCTGCCTGGCCCCGTCGCGCCTGCCTGGCCCCGTCGCGCCTGCCTGGCCCCGCCGCACCTCCCTGGCCCCGCCGCGCCTGCCTGGCCCCGCCGCACCTGCCTGGCCCCGCCGCGCCTGCCTGGCCCCGCCGCGCCTCCCTTGCCCGCCGCGCCTCCCTTGCCCCGCCGCGCCTGCCTGGCCCCGCCGCGCCTGCCTGGCCCCGCCGCGTCTGCCTGGCCTCTCCCACTGCTCGCCCGGCCCCTCTTCGTGCCTGCCCGGCCTGCCGTGCCACCTCGGGCTCCGTCTACTCTGCTCGCCAGCGCTGGGGCGCGTCGCGGCCGCCGTGCTAGAGAGTGCCGCCGCCGTGTCCCTGCGTCGCTGTGTTCCTGCGGAGCTGTGGAGCTGTGCCGCTGACCCTGCACGATGGCTGACTTCGTGCTTCGACAGGACGTCGAGGGCCATGCGGTTGACTTCGCCGCCTGGCTCTCCGATCTCCGTCGCCACCTTACAAGTCAGCGCCAGGATGGCCACTCTTTGGTTGTCCATGTCGATGGCTTGCTCCCCCGTCCCCCAGCACCTGCTCCCCTCCCTGCTGACCCCTCCTCTGATGACCGTGAGACCTTCTCTACTGCTGCGCTTGCCTGTGCGGTCTGGGACTTCTACGATGAAGTAGCTCAGGTTGCTATTAACCACGCCCTCCCTGTGTCTGAGCGCTCGCGTTTTGCTACTGTTGAGACGGCCAAAGCTTACTTAGACGCCGTTATTGCTCGCTATTCCACACCTGCGTCTGCTTCTGCTGGCCGCTTGCTCTTCCCGATGCTGTTCCCAGACCTTGCAGCCTTCCCTACCGTCGCACACTTTGCCACTCACCTGCGTGCCCTAGAGACCCGCTATCGCACTGCCAGCACTGCTGCCCAGCTCACTGCGCTCCCCCCCCTTTTCTTCATGACGCTCTATTTTATCGCCATGCGCGTGCCAGACCGCCTCGCTAGTGCTCGCTATCACTTCCTTAGCCAGCACGCGGGTGACCTCACCCTCACCGCCTTTGTTGATACCCTTACCGAGATCAAGACTCGTCAGCGCACTAACACTCAGTCGAGCGGTGCGCCGGCAGTCTCTATCTTTCACGGCTGTGCCCCCTCCCAGTGCACGTTCACTGACGTTTCGGCTGCGGTCGCCACGGCGACCCCTCTCACCGAGACGGCTGCTGCGGTCCACCCGCAGCAGCGCTCGCGCCGCGGTGGCCGTGGTCGTCGGGGAGGCCGGGTTGGTGGCGCAGGTGGTGGTGGTCGTCGTCGTCGTCACGGTAGTCCGCCTGAGGGGACTACCACCAGTGGGCAGGAGCAGCAGCCCCAGCCGCAGCAGGAGCAGCCCCAACAGCAGCCGCCGTCCCAGCAGCAGTCGCCGCAGCCGTGGGCCCGTCTCCCGCCTGGTTGGCCCGGCACCTCCGGAGGTAGTGGCCGTGGTGGCGGCCCGCGCAGCTCCGTGTCTACCGGCGGCTCCGGTGCTGTCACTTGCCAGTACCAGCTTCAGACCGGGCCTCTTCGCGGCACTCTGTGCCGCCGCCCGCACCCGACCGCCCGCTGTTTTCGCCGCCTCGACAATCTCTTTCGTCGTCGCTTTGGCCCTGCCCCGGACCTCCCCGACTGGCACAACCTGCTCCGCCAGGGCGTGCCGATCTTTGAGTTAGACATGGATCAGATAGGTGCTGCTTTGCATGCCTTGTATTCTGACGCTTCTAGTGTTGCTGGATCTTATTACCCAGTGTACTCTAGTTTAGGTGTTGCCCCATTGTGTAGCTTAGCCTCCCCTGCTGCGTCAGGCGTAGGACTGCCTCGTTTGCCTAGCCTAGTCCCTGCACCGGCTCCGTTCCCGACCTCCGCCGAGGCTTCGCTGTCCTTCACTCTCGACTCCGGTGCCTCTGCCTGCTTCTTCCGCGACCGTTCCGCACTCACACCGCTTGCTACGCCTGCTGTTGTCTCTTTCGCTGACCCCTCTGCGGGTCCTGTCGTCGCTCGCAGTTCTACGTCCCTTCCCTGTCCAGCTGTTCCCTCGGGCTCCCTTACAGGTCTCCACGTTCCCTCGTTCTCGAGGAACCTAGTTGGTGTCGGCTGTCTCCAGGACCTTGGCGTCACCACCACATTCCCCGGGCACAAGCGGTTCACTGTCTGTTCTGAGTCTGTCTCAGGTTCCCCCCTTGCGACGTTCCCCCGGGATCCGGTGTCCGGTCTGTTCACCCTAGACACCGCTCCCCCCCCGGTTGGTGCGTCCTCCCTGGTCGCTGCAGCTTGCTCGTGTCGGTCCCTCACTCACCCGTCCCTTCTCTGGCACCACCGCCTAGGCCACCCTGCACTCCCATCTCTGCGTCACATGTGCCAGCACGATCTTGTCTTATGTCTCCCTGCGTCGCTCCCTGCCCTTCCTCCCTCGCCTGCGCCACCGTGCACGCCTTGCGTCGAGGGTCGGCTCCGCCGCTCTCCTCACTCCTCCTCGCTGCGCCCTGCTACTGCCCCCCTTCAGACCCTGCACCTAGACGTTTGGGGCCCTGCCCCCGTCCCCAGACCGCGAGGTGAGCGCTACTTCCTTGTGCTCGTCGACGACTACACGCGCTACACCACGGTGTTTCCCCTGGAGCGGAAGGCCGACGTGCCCGACGTTCTTCTCCCGTGGGTCGTAGCTGCGCGTCTTCACCGCGGTCTCCCCGTGTTGTGTCTCCACTCTGACCGTGGCGGCGAGTTCGCCTCTGGTCGGCTTGGACAGTTCTGTCGTGCGGAGGGCATCACCCAGTCGTACACCTTGCCGGACTCGCCACAGCAGAATGGGGTTGCTGAGCGCCGCATCGGCTTGGTCATGGAGGTCGCCCGTACCTCCATGATCCATGCCGATGCCCCCCATATTCTGTGGCCGTTCGCTGTTCGCTACGCTGCTCACCAGCTTAACTTGTGGCCACGCTCCCAGCGGCCGCAGGTTTCGCCGACCCTCCTTTGGACCGGGTCCCCCGGTGACGCGTCTGCGTTCCACATCTAGGGCTGCCTTGCTCACGTTCGTGCCTCTGGCACGGACAAGCTCACTGCCCGCACTGTCCCCTGTGTCTTCCTCTGTTTCCCCCTGGACTCGTCTGACTGGCTTTTCTACCACCCGCCGTCTCACTGCTTCCTCCACTCTCGTGACGTCACCTTTGACGAGTATGTCTCCTTCTACCGCCGCTTCCCTCACCGAGGTCTCGCGGTTGCCCCCCCCCTGTTCCTTGCTCCCTCTCCCCCGGTAGCCCCTGCCCCTCTCCCGCCTTGTCCTGCCCCGTCTGGTGTCTCTCACGTCACTCCCCTCCCGTCGGTTGTCCCCGTTGAGGAGTCGGCTGACTCTGGTGGTACCCCCGACCCGTCCTTGCCGCGTCCCCCTTCCCCAGTGTCTCCGCCTCCACTGTCGCAGTCGCCGACCCCGCCGCAGCCGCCGCCGCCGTCGCCGCCGCCGCCGCCGCAGCCGCCGCCGCCGTCGCCGCCGCCGCCGTCGCCGCCGCCGCCGCCGCCGCCGTCGCCGCTGCCACCGCCGCCGCCGCCGTCGCCGCCGCTCTTGGCCCCTGGGGGTGCAGGCGTTGAGGAGGGTGTTCGTCCTGCGGCTCCTGGGTGTGCCGCTGGTGTTGGCGGGGGTTCTCGCTCTGGGGGTGTTGGTTCTGGGGGTGCTGTCATTGAGTGTTCTGCCGACGGTCGTCCTGCCTCTGCCAGTCCGAGGTTTCCGGCCCAGCCGTCGCAGCAGCCGCAGCAGCCATTGCCGCTGGTCTCTGCTCTCCGCCTGCTCGGCCTTCCCTCCCCGGACCGCGCGCCGGTGTCTCCGCCTGCTGACCTTCCTGTCTACGGTCCTGTGTTCCCACCGCCGGACTCGTCTCCAGCCCGTCTTCCTCCTCGTTCCCCTCCTGTGTCCCCTCTACTGTCCCCTGACCCTACACCTCCGTCTCACGGTTGGTCTCGTCGTCCCTCCCGTGCTCGTCCCGTCTCTCCTGGCCTGCCCACCCACCCTATGCCGCTCTGTTCCCACTCGTCTCGTCCTCCCCTCCTCCCGTCCCCTCCTCCCTCGTCCCTTGCTGTTGCACCTCCTCCGTTCTCTGATTACCTCCGTGCTGCCCGTCCCCTTGTCCCTCGGGTCCTTGCCTCTCTTGTTACCGACCCTGCTGTTCCTGGCTCGCGCCTTGACGCGCTTGTCGCTGCTGTCGCTGACTTTGCCTCTACCCACCGCCTTGACTACGCTACCGCTCTGGTCTCTGACCCTACCCATCCTCTGTCCGTCGGGGGTGCTCCTGCCCTTGGCAGTGACGTCCTAGAGGACAGGC